ATTTAAAAACTATGTAATTTGATTGGTTAATTATCACGGAAAATCACGGGTAGATCTACAAAAATTAACCAATCATATGAATGTCGGCCTATAACATGAGGGCTGAATTCGAACTGGGGCCCGAGATCGGAAAACTGAATGACCAGATCCTAATGATAGAGGACACACCAGCCGAACCACTGGGTTCTGTCGCACCAGAGGAAAAGAATATACACTTCAAAAGTATATACCAAGGGAGGGTGTCCTTTGGGCACCTAAAGCCTGGGCAAAACTAACCCTTCCAGGTTGCCGGCTAGAAGTAAGAGAGAGACTGATAAAGAATACAGGTAAAAAAATGTTACCAAATGGGGGTATTGGAATTGTTGTGAATCTTAATAAAGGCAAGAAGTAGGTAATACAGGGGTTTAATGATTAGCCCTAACCCCAAGTATATAGGTCAAGTTGTGGCGTAAAATTACCGAAGTTCTGGGTGAGGCACATGAATGGGACAGATGCCCCAGCAAAAAGGCGAGTACGGCTTTCTGTTGATCCAGCGGATAACCCCCTAGTAAGTTAGAGGCCAAAGAGGAGGTAAATCAGTGGCTAGATGGTTACACATAGGCATCTCTGAGCAACCATGTGATGCTTTACACACGAGTGGGGGTATGGTACTGGGAACTGTAACATCGTGAGAGAAAGACCTGGGATATATATAGAAATGTATATAAACTAGTGCTGTACTACTATATATATACTTAACTATTCAGATGTAATAAAGTGGCTACCATTGAAACCAAAAAAAAAAGTATATATATATAATTTTAAGTTTGTGAATAGTAATCTCTTTCAAGTGTTTTATTATCTCTTTAATAAGCTTTTTGCACAAATTTATTTTGCACTTTTTGGCCAATGATTTACATGCGTTTTTTAATTGTACTTTGTGTTTAGATATATGAGACATATTGGGTCAAAAAAAGTCAGGTTTAAATAATAATATGCAAAAACAATAATATGTAGAGCTATAAAAATAATATGCGAAAAACTATAAAATAATAATTGTAACCATTTTCAAAGTTGTTCTCACTACATTTTTAAATTTTTATTAACAAAAGCCAATTAAAAACAAATATGCATGTTTTTTTTAGTTAGACATCTAAATGTAACAAAAGCTGAATCTTAAAATGATTTAGTATTAAAATTATTAAAAAAATTTTCAATTCATAACAAACACTCACTAATTTTTTTTAATCATAATAACTAAAGCTAATCTTAAAGAATATTAGTATTAAAACTATCACAAAAACTTATAATAAAACTTTATATACAATATGATGAGATATTTCTTTACACAATTGCAGTTTTAAATTTTCAATTAGCAAAGCCAATTCGTAACAAACATTTATGATTTTTTTTGGTTACAACATATATATAATAACAAAAGCTAACCTTAAAGAGCATCAGCATTAAAACTATCACATAAAATTTTATATACAATATAATGAAACATTTCTTTACACAATTACAGGGTTAAAATTTTGGTTATTAAGGCCGATTTGTAATAAATGCATATCTTTTTGCTAGAGCATATATAGCAAAACAAAAGAAAAAAGTCCCACTAATATAATAGTCTAAAATGGTTGATTAATTAAAATTTTTTAACTATAACTTCATTGGGTTACACTATGCCAATTATTTTCTACAAAAATTGCTAGAAAAAAATCGCTAATACACGAATTGATGCTATTTTTTGAATGCTTTTTTTGATAGTAATTTACCAGTAAAAACATCTCAATTTTGTTGATCAATTTTATGCATAAAATCTATAGTAGTATCATTATGACTGCACCCTTACATAATGTTGACTATATATAATTAGTATTTGAAAATACCCCAATAATGCGTGCTTATTTTTTAAAAATTTCTATTTTTGTAATGAAAAAATTAAAAAGTTAACTTCGGCCGAAATTTAGTAACCAATTTTGTAATGCGGACCAAAATTTCGAAGATCTTCGGCCGTTAGCCAATCAAAATCGAGGATCTGCCGTGCATTTTTTGTGCGGCGCCTAGGGTAAATAGTATGGGTCTGATATGCGAGGGTCTAGTACCAGGCAATATATATATAGCACTATTGACTAGTATCATACCCGGGTCTTTTATCATTTTAGATCCTATAGTATTAGTATACCCGGGTCTTTTATCATTTTAGATCTGGGTCTTTTATCTTTACAAAAATCCCCACTTATATTGTAGACCCGGGGATGATACATGGTGGGTCTACTATCATGTGGGGTCTTTTATATGGCCATTTACGGTACTTTTTATTACTTTTACATTTTTTACATATCAAGTATGATAAACAATTAATTCTCAACATATTTCTAACCGGTCTAAAAGATAGCCACTTTATTTTAATGTCCGAAATTTTTAAACCAAATAATCGATACATTAATATGAGCGTAATAAATACAACAATCTTTTAACGTTTAACCAAAGCATAATGAATACAGTTATTACATTTTTCACTCATTTAAATTTAAAATCTTCTCAGTAAAGAAGACCTAAAACTGAAAGGTTTGGGTAAATGGTTTTCCATATTTGACGGATAGTAAAGAAATTTAAATTGTTAAAATCATTAAAAGGAGCTGACGTAGCTAAAGTTGAAACTTTAACGGTTGATCGAAAGGGAATTTTTTTTTTAGGCAGTATAGCGAACATTACGAAAAACAGAAAGTATGCTATTGATTTAGATGCTTGAGAACAGCCTAAGTCACGCAGACCAATCAGATTCAAGATTTTGTGGACCAATATCGCTCGGTAAATCATTGCATTCGTTTCTGGTATAGAAATCATTGCTGTGCAAAAATAATTTTTGGTTTTCACTCTGCATTTCATAAAAGTTTTTAAAATAGAACCAAAAACCCGGCTTGTAATTTAAATATAATAGATTATTGTAATTTTGTATGGACTTTTGCGTTTCTATTAATATATCATACATACGTATTTTCGTTTTCGAACATTTCTTTGTCAATAGAGACCAATAGCAAAAAAAGGGAAACGCAGATAAATAATTAAGGTCGATCATAAAACTACGTAATGTATTAAAACAAAAGTACATGCACACGCACTATGAATGGTTCACGTTTTCGGGTTATTTGAGTATGTACGTACGTACATGTACTGTATATGCGATGGGAAAGAGATGCTCATCATAAGGAATCTTCAGTTATTTTTATCGTCAATGCTCGGGTCTAAAAATTCTGAGCATTGTTTTGTTTTTTGGTAATAATGAAGCTTTGAATAATAAGCTTTGATAAAGTTTATATTTCGATTAACTATTTCTTTTATATTTTTTTTTATTATTATTTTTTTTACTGTTACTGCATAGTACGTACTTGTTTCTGCAGGTGATATTTATAGACACTTTATTAAGTTTTCTCGAAATGAAAATAGCCAAAAAAGTCAATTAACAAAAAGATACATATTACGTACGTATCGGCATTTCAACTTAAAATTCATAACAATTAAGTTCATAAGGGAAAGTACGTAAGTACGTACGTACAATTGTTATAGCAAGTTAATTACGGTGATATTATTTGTTATTAAATATAGATATATATTGTAAATTGAAATAAAACCTTGAATTAAACTTAAGTTGATTCTAAATACACTTAAGTTGAAACGAACTAACTTAAAAATTAATTCTGAACCCACTTAATGCATATTGATATCAATTTTAAATTAAATTCGATTTAAAGAATAACACATCGCAAGCTATTTATACATATGTGTATTCTAGTCACCACATTAATCATTACAAGCGTGGTTATTGGGATGACTGCTAATTTTACAAGGCATTGCCTTTTTACATTTGTAGAGATGTTACTATATTTCAGATCATGTGACAAATATAATTAATATATATAATTAATGTCTCCATCCGAAAGGCTACGTAGTCATTAAAAATCAAATAAGCTTAAGAAATTTAGTAGCTACGATTGGTTTTGCCACTACTGGATTTGAATTTAAATTAAAATTAATATGTTCTATTCACAACAAATTTGATTCAACTTTAATAAGTTGCACAAGATTCCGTGAGCCGAATGTTTTTTTTTTAGTACAATAACGATCTTAATAGTTCAATGGATCCTGAAAAACTCCAAATACAGAAAACATAATCTTCTCGTATAATAAGGGTTTTACGACATCGATTAACAACAGATTTCCTTCCGAGAAAATCTAGTAAGCTTTCAAATGCACTGCAAGATAAAAATATTCTTGCAACCGGTCATTTTTACTGAATATATATTTTTGATTGATTGATTGAAAATGATTCTGAGAGATCATTGTGAGGTTTGACTAAGTTAAATTTTAAATCCACCTATTAAGTGGAATTTGATTTCGTTAACCAACAGAATCAGTTGAGAATTCCGTTTAACATCAGTGGATTCGGAATTCACAAAATTCGTACAACATATGTTAATATAATTTATAATAATTTCATTTGTTTGTATATACGTATGCATATAACGATAGTAATATTAACTCTAGAGTTTAATATCTGTAATATTTTTGAATATATACTTTATAAATGGAATTATGATATTGTATATAAATGAATTATTAGTACTAATAACGCTAATAGGTCTATAAATCTATACTAAATAAATCTCATCACATTACACAATATATTTAACTAAAAAATCATTATATGTAAATCTATAAAAAATGAAAATCAAATTTACAAAAAAAGAAATAATATACAAGAAGATATAATGAATAATAAAAATAATTTTTTTAATTTTTTTTTTAGATTTATCAATTTAAAAAAGATTATTATTATAAAAATATACATTATTATTTTTAATCCTTAAAACTATAATCAACATTCTAGTAAAATTATGATTCCCATTCTTCTGCATCAACAAATTGATCACCACCATCATCTGAAATATTTCCATCATTTATTTCATCTTTTGATTCTTCCTCAACAGCTGATATAACAAGAACAGGTACTGTTACTTCATTAGATATTATTCCTAAACTTATTGGTGGTCTACTTTCAGGTTTTAAATCTAGCTGAATTTGAGGAATTTCAATTTGAATCTTTGAGGCACTTCCAATAATCAAATTTTTTTCATTCTCAGTTTTGCCTTCTTTCTTATTTTCCAATAATGTTGTTGCGATTTCATTATGTTCTGTTAGATGTATTCCCATCTCTTCTAAACATTCCCTATTATATTCTGATCCTGAATCAAGCATATTAGCTTCATATTCTTCATTTTCATTTCTATTTGATAAAGATGTTTGTTCTTTAACATCTTCAAGAATAATTATACTACTAGCATCATCTCTAAAACTAATATCATCTCGATCTTCATTACAATTCCCATTTCTTGGAAATATCTCAAGTTCATACTCTGAAACATTTCCTTGAAAATCATACTCTTCTTCATTATCTCCATTAATTGAAAGTGTTGATTTTGAAGATAAAGATGATGTAGAACTACAAGGTAATGATGTTATATAAACCGGTCGTGAATTATTTTCTGCTTCTCTTTCAGCAGAATTGAGTAATTTATTACTACTACTAATAGGTTCCTTGACAAATAATTGTCTAAATGTTCCAGGAACTTCCAAAGTTCTTGATGGAAATTCTGATGTAAAATCTGATGTAAATAAAAATGATGAATTCTCATCAGTACTATTATCTCCAGGAGTAAAATAACTTCTTCGATTTTGCCAATATGTTTTATCTTCCATTACTGTAGAACATAAATCTTTTTCAAGAATTTCATTATAACATACAAGCCTACTTAATTCTAAACAAGTATGTTTTAGTCGAGATGCTACAGAAGTTGCTACTTGTAATATACGATCTCTTGTTGATGCTTTATATGGTATCATTAAGAATAGGTTATTTCTGAATCGAATATCTGTTTGAAGTTGTGATGTTAACGCAGAAATTTTTCCCTGAAGCTCATCAATTTTTGCCTATCGAATATTATAATATATGTATTAAATAAAAAAAATAAATCATTTATAGTGATCAAATTACAAAAATTATTTAAAAAAAAAACTTACTCGAACTAAATTAGCTCGTCCTTGAGATTCTTTGGCAGCAGCATCATGACTATGCCCAAACATTCCAACACCAAATCTCAATCCACTACTATTGGCACCTCGTCTCTGTTGTCCAACATATGGATTTCGAATGTTTCTCATTTTTAATCCAGCTGTTTTAAATGTAGCCGCATAATTAATCTTTGATATCCAATCATTCATTTCTGCTTCACTTTCAGCTTGAAATAAATATTGATGACCTTTTGGACATACCAACCGAAAAACATTTTTATATTTTTCATAATTTTTATCATATACTGCTACAGAATCTGCAGTCATAAGTATTACATCTGGTTTTAAAACAGGTAATATTGCAGATTCCTAAAAGTAAATTAACATTAATTAATTAACATAAATCATATCAATATTGATATAAAATATATATAGAATATTTAAATTATATATATTTCAATATATAAATTCATATATATATATATAATAAAAATATTTAGATAAAACAAACCTCTGAATTTTTCAACTTTTTCATCTGTGCAGTAAACCCTGTTTCATCTTTAAAGAACATTAGCTGGCTACCACTTAATATTACACCATATAATCTCCAACTTCTTAAACCAGTTTTCTTTTTACCATCTATTAAATCAACCTTTCTTCCAAGTTTACCACTTTTAGTTATCTTTAAAAGAAAAGTTCCATCTTCATTTGTTGATTTAAAAGAACTAGATGTACTTTTAAAAGAATGATTCTTGCGTCTATTTTGAACACCCATAATCCGAATAGTATGAGGTGCAGAGAATGCACGGTGAAGATCAGCAATGTCTAAAGCTGGAAGAGTTCCCATATAAGAATATGGATTTTCAGTAGGAACAATATCTTTAATTTTAGGTTTAAATTCAGTTGGTAATTTCTAAAGTTAAAGAGAATTTATAAAATATTAATATATAATTATTATAATTACTATAGTTACTATAATTATTATAACAATCCAATTCATTAAATTAAAAAACTTACAGTTTGTATAACCCAATAAGGATCATTTCTAGGACGTGTAGACTTTCTCCGTTCCTTTGAGGAGAACAATTTCATTTGATGTTGTGTTGGAGATTCAAGCATTGTCTGACCATTAACATCAGTATCATCTTGAGCATATATAAATTGAGCAAAA